AAACAGACTCTAAGTGAATCTTTTAATGAATTAAGAAAAGTAATCCCATTTATCCCTAATCACAAACCGTTGGGGTCTTTTGCATGAACCAAAAGATAATCTCTCATGTCATCCACCCAAACCCCAATTTTAAAAACTTTTCTGTCACTAAACCCCGTTTTACATGTATTAGATGAAAATATTGTTTATTTTAGATTGATGTATTAGATAATAGATATTTCTTGATAGTTCAGGGTTATGCCATTTGAAATTTATGTTTGGTTCCAACATATAGAAGCCGTAAAGCTCTAACCAAATTAGACTCTTCATAGTACAAACATCAAGTTAGCAAGTTGTATCCATGCAGGACATGATCACAAAAGAAATTGGCATCGCTACTATCATAAGGATGTTATCAAGCAATTATTCACCGGTCAAGCATGCTTCAGCTGCACTTCTTCTCGTGCTTTCAGAATGCAAATATTTTTGTGATATAAATGAGGAAGTTTCTGGAGCTATTTTGATGCTTATAACAGCCAAGAATAAACAGGATGATAAAATCACTTCAGAAGTAGCTGATAAAGTGTTAAAGAGTTTGGAAAGGTCCTCACTCAACGTCAAGCACATGGCAGAAACTGGACATTGGGAACCTTTGATGAATTATCTAAATGAAGGTTGGCATATACTTGGGTCTTATATGCAAGTTTTCCAGTAGTGCATGAGAATTTACAGTGCAGATTGGTAAAATCAGTAAAAACGCACTTATTGATCAAATTGGAACAATACTACAGTATATGGAAATTTTTGTTGCTCCTTATGTTTCAAAATATGTCATATTTTCAAATCATCAATACCAAGAAACTTTTGAATCATTCAAATATTTTATACAATTTTGCAGTCTTACCCTCATTGTACTCCGACTAGTGAACTCCAAAAGTCATCATCTAATATTAATTGGAATGACGTATTTCAAATTTCAAAATTCACATATTCCGAAACTTCTAAAACAGAAAAACATTTAAAATTTTGAGACGCAGGTAGTAGTTTATTTCGAGAGCAAAATATACAGTAAGAGTTCCATTATCCATCCAAGTAAAAGGGGAAATTAAAAACACTGACATATACATGTGTGACATATTCTTCCTCAGGATAATTCTCAAACTAGTTACTGTTTGCTGTCCTTGTTGGGTAAAAAATAACAGGAACAGAAGAGATGAAAATGGAGATGGCAAGCTACATCGGAGAAATTGTTCTTACACCTGAAAAAAGCACCTATGTTGCTAAGAGATCATCTCCAGCTCTGATCAAAATGTTACAAACTAACAACACTCTGAGCAGAAATGCAGCCTTTAAAGCTCTTGAACAGATATCTCTGCACCAAATGAGTAGTAATGTACTTGTGGAAGATGGGATCATAAGTGTCATGATTGAAGAAATCTTTAATGGTATGACAATCTACAAAGAACCAACAGGCTCAAAGAAAGAGGCAACTGGAATACTTGCAAATATCCTAGAGTTTGGAGTTCAGCTGGCGAACCATCAAGTAAAGGTGAATGGCCACAGAATGGATTCAGAGTACACTGTATACAGAATCATTCACATGATTAAAAAATCTAACCCTGATGAACTTAATTGCAATCTCATCAGAATTCTCCAGTGCCTGATGAGGTTCCCAAATACATCACCTATCATTGTTTCTGGAATCAAGGAGACAGAAGCGGGTTATATCCTGATTGAGTTTATCAATTACTCCAATGATGAATTAAGTGTTGCTTCGATCAAATTTCTCATCACACTCTCTCCTTTAATGGGGAATACTTTATCAGAAAGAATATGCAAAAATAAAGGTCAAACTCTAATAAGACTGATCCAGCCTTCAAGTGGGGATGATGAAGGTATTGTCACAGAGACACAAGCAGTTTCCGCCAATTTATTGGCAAAGCTTCCCCATCAAGATTTGACACTGAATCTTGCTCTCATAGAGGGTAAAACAGTCCATACAATCATAGACCACATTGAAAAACTCAATAACAGTGGAGCAAGAACAGGAAGACACGTGCATACATATTTTGAAGGACTCGTGGGAATTCTTGCCAGATTCACGTCTACATTGTATGACCATCGAATACTACAATTGGTGAAGATGCATAACTTCACTTCACTCTTCATGGAATTACTTATAAAAACGTCAAGTGGTGAAATCAAGAAAATATCGGCAACTGCACTTGGAAACATGTCAAAAGAATCAGTCAGTCTATCAAAACCACCGTTTAGCAAGAGAACCAAGTACTTGAAGAATTCTCCAGTCAAAAGATTTCTCTCTCTTTATTCATCTAAACAGGAGAAAGTGACACTGTGTCCAATTCATAGAGGTATGTGCTCTTCAAGAGAAACATTTTGCTTGGTTGATGCAAAGGCAGTTGAGAGGCTCTTAGCATGCCTGGAAAACAAGAATGTGGAGGTAGTAGAGGCATCATTGTCAGCTCTATCTACACTGTTGGATGACCAAGTTGATATAGACAAGAGTGCGATCTTGTTGACCGAAAAGCAATCCATCAAGCATGTGATAAATGTTGTGAAGGAGCACAGAGAAGAAGCTGTGCGGCATAAATCATTTTGGATTATTGAAAAAATTCTATCCAAACGTGCTGCCGAGCCTGTTTCAGATATATCACAGGACAAGTTCTTTCATGCTACATTAATTGATGCACTTCACTGTGGTGATGTACTCTCAAGGGAAATGGCAGAAAAAATCTTGATGCATTTGAAAAGGACGCCTCAAATCACAACCCCCTCTTCACCATGTAAACCTTTCATGCACATTTCATAACGCTTTTTTGTAAAGAAATGTTGAACTTCATATCTTTCTGCTTTCACTGGCTTAGAAGTTAGAACTTAGAAATATGAGTAGACAGTCTAGAGAATGAATGTTAACATGTGGATTTGATTATGACCTTTGTTTCTTCCCAAAAATTAGAGCAACATGGATCGACATCGGAAAGAGATTGAAACTGCTCTTGTGTATATACAGTTCCTTCATACTGTTCAAAATTTATTGCAAATAAGAGAACTCCCCGGTATCTCAATACAACAACATCCAAGCTTTAGTTCCAAAAGATCCCCAGTATCTCAATAATCTGCAAAATTACAATAGCTCAATTACTTCACATGTTTCTTTGAAGACCTGTGTGCCGAGCTTATTAGCTTGAACACATCAGATAATCCCTTACCATTTGGAATGAAAGGGTGACATAATAACCATATCATAAAAAGAGCTAATGCACGCGGAACAAAACCTTTGTCAAAATCCTATATAACTCACTCCAGTTCATGCTCTTCAAATAGTGGCCCTTTTTCAAGTTTAAAAATCTGAGAAGTAGTTTGCCTCATAAGTATTTTGTCATTCAGAAGGAAACTTTTTATTGTACCATGTGTCGTTTTACCAAAACAAGACAAATTTAATGCTACCAGTTTGATTTTCTTGTTATGGGGCCACATTTCTTTATCAGTTCAAGAGCCAGTAATTACAGTACCACCTAAAACATGTAAAGATATACAGATTAAATTACTCATTATACACTGAAACAGTGATAGTATACGTGCATTATATGCTTAGTTAGTATATCAATATCCACCCACATTATGAGATCACAAGTTCAACCCCCATCTATTTATTTGAAAGATTTATTGTGAATGTTGGGACTAAATATTAGGAAAGATCTCATGTTAGAACCAATTAGGGTATGGTGCTTAAATACTAATAAGACATCTCGCCAGGCTGAGCACCCAATTTTAATACAGCTTTTATGTAAAACTTCCTAGCATCAAACTGCTAGACCTATAACAGAGGATTATTATACTCATATTATAATATGAAGATCCATATAATATTAGGTTTAAAAGAGGGAAACTCCCACATTATTGTGGTTCATAGGTTGATGACAAAACTTACCCCTCGAACAAATAATACCAGCCTGCGTCCATTCGATATGACCTGCAAGTGTGAAGGAACAAGGAAGATGATGAAGCTGGAGCATATCGGGGCCATGAGGAGCAAGATTACACAACCTAAACCAAGCGATCTTATACTATAACAGAAGGAAACAAGAAATTACCCTAAATAATGTGAAATTCCAAAACAGGAGTGTTATTTCCCCCTAAATAAGAGCAATTATTACCATGTTTGGAAAATACCGTCGATCATGGCAAAACAGCCATATTAATGTATGGTAATCCCAAAATGTGGTAGTATGGTTTCATGTGACATGCTCCGTTTTTTTAGTCTCTCTTATATATATTTTTTGGAAAATATGTTCCTATTTTGGAATTTTACATTGTTTATGCTCCTATTTTGGAATTTCACATTGCCTTACTCCTATTTTTGGAAACTTCCAAGAAAAAATGGCACATACACATATCTTGCATTAGTTAAGAAGTACTCCATATAATGTTCTTGCAAGTGCTCATCAAAAGTGTGCAAACCAACTAAAAATGCACAATTACAGAACCAAATGTTATAAAGAAAATTAAGAGTGGGAAAAGAACACCTGAAGAAGAAGAACTTCTGCATATGTTGTTCAATTGTTAAAATGACAACCTGCAAGAGAAGCATGTTAATATATTAATGATTTCTACCATATTTACTTCTTAAAAGTTCTTAATGAAATAAACATGGAGAAAGAGTAAAAAATCCAAATAAAAGTCAATACAATTAACCATGCAAAACAAATCAAGAAATCTCACATGGTGATCTGTTAAACAGTATTACCACCCATACGTTGATATCAAGCCGCTCAGACTCTCATTGGCTTTTGATAGAGATAAAAAAGAATTGGAAATAAAAAGTACATAATATTAGACAGCCTGTCAGCCTCTATTCATATTTAGAATCTTACATTTATGTATTTGTGGGAAACAAATCGGCATATTTGAGATGGAATAAAAGATGAACGAAACCTTTATAAAACAAGCATGCAACTGATAAGAACCTCCAGAATTCCAGAACAATTACAGAAAATTAACAAGAAATCAACTGAAAATTTATTGATGAAAGTGATCGATTACAGGAGAAGACACTGGCCGAAGCCCCCAAAGCCGAAGCCCCAAAAGATAGAGATGTTTTGTCTCCGATCTTTCCCAGTCCCAAGACTAATCCTCTAAAAGCCCTACCTTATGCCTTCCTCCCCTTTTCTATTTATAGTATAAGCCCTCTTAGTATTCTTTATAATAATAGGCCCAAAACTACCAGGCCCACTAAACAGTATCTATTCTTCTAGTATTCATATTAGAATTATTATCTATTATTAATCTAAAAGGTAGATCCCTATCAATACTTCCCCCCCAAAACATCCACCTTGTCCTCAAGGTGGGTAATAGGAGAAAGCAAAAATCTTCTGCTTCATCTTCCTCTTCCTGGTTCCTCTCCCTTCCCAATATCTAACTGTTTGATGGACTAGGGACTTCAGTACGAGATCTTTTGAAATCACAGAACTTTCAGCAACAGAAAGTGAATCTCCAATTGGTTCAGTCATCTCTCCCCGCTCCATATCCAAAATTATTACTTCACTTTTCTGCTTCCCTTCATGATTTCTATGTTCTGAAACTATTACTGTGCTGAATTCAAACTCCTTTATGCATCTTTCAACCTTTTCCTCTTTTAATTCTTTGCTTACCTTATTTGAGAAGGAAAGCCTCAAAGGTTTTAGCAGGTAAGTAAGGATACCCCTTATTCCAGTTGCAGTTCTCCTAACTAAGGAACAGGAACTCCTATTATCCATGTAAAACTTCCAAAGTTGGTTTTCTTGAATGTAGACATATTCTTCGTCAGAAGAAAACATTGCACTTTTCAAGCCTTGTTTCAGTTTCACCTGTCCAGTTGCCTCAGCTTCCAATCCATTAACATTAGCCTGGGTAGTAGGATCAAGGGCCACACTGATTTTATCCACTGTCATCCCCTTTATTCTTGCTAAGTTGCCCCGGAATAGTACAACACCTTCACCCTTAATGGTTTGGTCATGACTGTCAACTATTTCCCAATCCCTCTCTGAAGTCCTGAATATCTTGATCCCATGAACAACAATTGCCATCTGAAGTCTATAATTCAAATCTTCACATCCTTTTTGAACAGGACTACAAGCTATTGGTGTACTCCTTAGTTTTTGAAGAATAATCCATGCCTCTTGGAAGATAGCAGGACTATTTTCATTTTTAGGCAACAGAAACTGGTCAACCTTATAATCAGTAGTATAATCCTCCTTTCCTTTCCAATTTGGAGTCACTCCTACCCCCAACGCATTTAGAATATACTTTATAAAAGTAAAACCCTCACATCTTAAACTATCAAACTTGTTAAGTGACTTCATTCCTTCCAAAGTCGTGTTTAAAGAAGGACAACACATCCTTTCAATCTTGAAGATATTTGGCCAATTCCACTTCTGTGCAAGATGATAAGAAACATCGCATACCTGAAGAACCATTTCAGACTTTAATACACCAGCAATTTCAGATTGTTCCTTGATTTTATCCTCATTTGTTTTCTTGATTGCAGATTCAGCTGGCTTCAGCACGATATTCTTTATAGTCTGGGGAAAATCTTGAGCAGGGTGAACAATTGATGACATTTCCTTAGGTTGATTAACCTCCTCTTCAAAGTCTGTCCCCTTAACTGAAGGTATAAAAGATGATGAGATGTGAGATATGGTGAGTGAAGAAACCTGCCAAGTAGGAACTTCTGCTTCCGTCAAAGCCAGAGGACTGAAGGAAATATCTTGCGAATTAGATGGACCTTTGCTTTTCGAATTCAGGCAGCGACGTACCTTCCTCGACCTTCCTCGCCTACGATGTTGCCTCAACTTGGGCTTCCCCTTCTCCAGGTTTGAAGGCTTTTCCTTCTCCACTTTTTCACTCTTCTTTTTCTCCACTTTTTCGCTCTTCTTTTTCTCCACTTTTTCGCGCTTATCTTTCTCCATCTTTTTGCGCTTCTCTTTCTCCATTTTTTCGGGCTTCTCTTTCTCCATTTTTTCGCGCTTCTCTTTCTCCATTTTAACGCGTTTCTCTTTCTCAATTTTTTCGCGCGAAGCCTTTCGCGAGTGCGAACCAGTTCGCGATTCTCTCAGCGATTGCTTCTGCGACTTGTTGAGCGACGGCGATGGTTTATCAGAACACCTATTGTTTCTTTGCAAGCTTAATTTGCGCCTCTCTTCACAAATCCGTCTGGTATCTTCGTTCATCTTCTCTAAATTGCGCTCCCAATTTTCCATCGTTCCTACAGGTAACAAGATCGTTTTTCTCTGATACCAATGATAAGAACCTCCAGAATTCCAGAACAATTACAGAAAATTAACAAGAAATCAACTGAAAATTTATTGATGAAAGTGATCGATTACAGGAGAAGACACTGGCGAAGCCCCCAAAGCCGAAGCCCCAAAAGATAGAGATGTTTTGTCTCCGATCTTTCCCAGTCCCAAGACTAATCCTCTAAAAGCCTACCTTATGCCTTCCTCCCCTTTTCTATTTATAGTATAAGCCCTCTTAGTATTCTTTATAATAATAGGCCCAAAACTACCAGGCCCACTAAACAGTATCTATTCTTCTAGTATTCATATTAGAATTATTATCTATTATTAATCTAAAAGGTAGATCCCTATCAGCAACACTTTTAAACAACGTATATTCTGTATCTATAGGCACGTAAGCATTTGTTGTTTCTGTTTCGTACAAAAACCATATTGTGGTGCATAACAATTCAAATAGATGGTGCATCAGTCACTAGTCAAAAGGTTCATAGTTGCATATGCTTCAATTGTTAACAAAAGGTTCATTCTCAAAACATGTAATAACTGGATTAGGCACAAAGTGATGCACATATCATTGACTTAGCTAAACTATAGGAAGCAAATTGTAAAAACAGCTTAATAAATAAACAGAAGTATATAAATTAGGATAAAAACTGAACATGGAACTCTTTGTAAATAAAATATAAAAAAAAAACCCAAAAGATGTAACTATGGGAGATGGATGCCGCAACATTGGAACCAACTAAAACCTAAAACAAAATATAGATCAATAACAGCTGACCAGTCCACCAACTGTCTTCATTAGCTTAGATTTAATTTGAAGATTTGATGTCTACTCAACATCTCTTGCAGCGGCACAAAAACATGCCCAAAGCTTAACCGAATCCCTAACCTGCAAAGACAAAGTATAAATGACAAACCACAATAACAAAATTTAGTTCATATTCCCATACATTTATTCTTACAAGATCATCAACAGATGGAGGCAGTAAAGGAGATTTAGTTTTAATGGCAACCCATACAAAATTAACCCTCACTCCCCTTTAAACATACATAAGAGAAACATACAACAAATGAACAAATAAAGGGCAATGTACAAGTAACATTCCACAAATTAAGGACAGAAATAAGATTGGCATCCGGGGAAGTTACGCTCTAATGCTCTATATATAGACAAAAAGGGAAAGATGGTGTTAAAATATATGTAGTATTATAGATTATAGATGTACAAAGGGTTGTTTTTGATTTAGAAATCAATGGCACACAGAGATTAGTAACCACCCTCAGGAACCCCCGTGGATCTAGATACCTCATTCATCTAAAACCCTGAAGATGAAAACCCATTGCCATCACCTCATATGCTCATTGGTATTAACTATTGATTTTAGGGGTTACATTTAAAGTTCGTAAAACAATAGACACCCCATATTCACTTTTTCACTTTCAATACTAATCTAATGGTTAAGATTAGTTCGTGACTAAAAGTAAATTTTTCTTGAGTAAAGTTTAATTTTTAACACTATCTAACAGTTTAAACTAATACGAAGTGCTTGATAAGTTAAGAAATTGAGATAATTGAATTCATCTTTGGACAAAAATGAAAGAGGCTTAAGATTGTTCATCTCCTATAAGAGATATGATGAAAACCAGAGTCAAGTCTTACCATGTCAAGAAGGATTCACAGCTCCATCTAAACGCAAATGACACCAATGGGATGTCATTGAGCCAAACCAGAGAGGAAAACATATCACCAGAAATCACCACAAGAGCATTTTCCATCTTTAAACAAATGAAACCTAACAGAATCTCTTACTAAAATTTCTCTTCCAGTGATCCTGGAAATTATTTTAGTTGCATTGTGGCAATCCACACATACTCTGAGATTTTTAACCACCTTTATGGGGAGCTTGGGAGGAACAAACAACAAACCAAAAGCAATTGCAAGCTTCTCACTGTGGTGGTTTAGCATTTTAACCTTCTCAGACTCCTCAACGTTATGCTGGACGGAGCTCACATCAGGAATGTACCCACCGTCTACCATTTTATGATACAATGACTCAAGCTCTACATATATCTTATCTGAATATGGACTCGACTTATCATCAGCTGAGAAAACATGCAATTTGTTCTTATATTTGATCCAACTAAATCCAGGTTCCTTTTTCACACCTCTATCTCTCATCGCCTTCCTTAACAAAGCCACTTCATCCCAGTCTCCTCTAGCAGCATGCAAGCTTATAAGCAAGACATAGCTGGCTGGATTTTGCGGATCTGTATGTAAAAGAGATTCCGCTGCCCATTTCCCAATTTCCATATTACCACGAGTTCTACACGAGCTTAGCAGAGTTGCCCAACCAATTGCATCAGGCTGACAGGGCATACTTTGTATAAAGTGTTTCGCTTCGTCCAACTGTCCAGATCGGCTTAGTAGATCAATCATGCAAGTATAGTGATCAAGGTTAGGCATAACTTTATGATCTCGTACCATTGAATCAAAATAATACTTCCCTTTATCTACAAGTCCTCCCCGACTGCAAGCAGCAAGAACCCCAACAAAAGTTATTTCGTCTGGTTGAAGGCGTTGCTTGAGCATTTTCTCAAAAAGGTCAATTGTTTCGTCTGCTTTTCCAAATTGGGCATACCCAGAAACCAATGCAGTCCAAGTGACCTCATCCTTAATTTCTATCTCACAGAACAATTTATGGGACTCGTCTATGCTCCCACACTTACCATATAGGGTCACAAGTGCATTGGAAACCGTGATGAAGGAAATCAAACCTGAAACTAATGCTTGACAGTGAAACTGTGCACCTTCTTCCGAGCTTGCCAGGTTTGCACACGAACTAACGACACTTCCTAAGGTAAATTCATCTGCCTTAACCATATTCTTTTGCATCTCACTATAGGTTTGAACGGCTTGTTCACTGTGTCCATTTTGTCCATAACCAACTACCATTGCTGTCCAAGAAACAATATTTTTCATCTTCATCCTTCTAAAGACATTTTCTGCGTACTTGATGCTTTGGCACTTGGAATACATATCAACAAGTGCACTAGCCACAAAAATGTTATCCATGTGATACCATCTTATTGCATAAGCATGAATCTGTTTACCTTCTTTCAAGGCCATCATACTTCCACAAGCAGTCAATGTGCTCCCAAAAGTAAACTGATCTATAGTAAATTTTTGCCGTTTCATTTCTCTGAAAAATTCTAAAGCTCTTATATCAAGACCATTATGTGTTAGGCCGGTAATCATTGTTGTCCATGTTATAGAATCCCTCTCTAGCAAACACATGAACAACCTTTCTGCCTCTTTAACCATCCCACACCTCAAAAACCCCATAATCATTGTGTTAGACAGAACCAAATTCTTTTCGGGCAACTCATCAAAAACCTGTTTCGCCTCACAGATTAAGCCAGATTTTGCATACATGTCCGTCAAAGGACTTCCCACAAAAACATACAGCTCAAACCCACACTTCACTATCTGTCCGTGAATTTGCCTGCCCAACAGGGTCCAATCATTGCTCAGAGACAATATAAGCATGGTTGAAAACGTGATTCTGTTCAAATTCTTCATCCCGTCCCTCAACATCAATTTGTATGCCCTTACAGCTTCACCAGCAGACCCATGAGAGGCATAACCCGAAATCATCAAATTCCAAGAAACTCCATCTTTCCTCGGGATCAAGTGAAATACCTCCTCCATTTTGTGAAAGTTCCCAGATTTGGAGTAAGTTGAGAGAATGGTATTCCACGAGAACTGGTTGGGTCTGAGAATTTGATCGAACACGTGGCGCGCGTACAAGTGGTGTTCGAGCTTGCTGTACGCATTAATGAGGTTGTTCAGCAAGAATGTCTCAATGCTCGGGATGGTTTTGATTATCCGGCAATGGAGCTTCTTCACTTGAGCATGGCTTTGTGCCTCGCAGGAGAGCTTCAGAAGGGAGCAAAAATAGTTAGATATGTTAGACATACCGCGCAAATGCATTTTTTTTAGTGTGGCGGGAATAACCGAAGAAGTTAGTTGATTTCTAATGTTTGAGTAGGGTTCCCAAAGAAAAGCCAGCCTATCCCATCCGTCCAACCCGTCCAAGATTACATTGAAACCGCTTTACCGGCTAAATTCTCAAATTGGTAAAAAAAATGAGAGTCATCGGACAAATTGGTATAAAAAAACAAGGGTCCCAAAAAACAATTGAGACATATTGGTAAAAAAAAAGGTCTAGTTACAAATTGATCAATTTTTTGTAAGTGATAAACTTTTGATCCTCAACTTTAGAATTTTCAACATTTCATATTCTAAATATTGTGAAGTTGACATTTGTAATAGAGTAGATTTTATATTTATTTATTATTGGGGACTCCTATTATAATTTTGACATTTATTCTCTCTCTATATATCTGGTAGGGTTACCAATATGGTTAAGCCTGATAATTATTCTCATATGATATTGATAGAGTATTAATTCTAGAGAGAAGTGAGAGCTAGAGAGAAAAAGTGAGTAATTATATTTCTCAATCAGACCCCCCTATAATTAGCCCCTTGGGGTCTATTTATAGGTAAAAATGTGGATTTGGGCCCCTAGCCTTGGGATTAGGAGGCCCATTACAATAATCATGCCTTCTTTGGGCGAATAGGGCTACTAATGGGCTGAGTACAACATTTAGTACATAAAATAGGAACATACATTCTGCCTGGACGAAGTCCGGACGATGCGGTCCATGGACGATGCGCTCCCTTGGCCGACGCGATCCCACTTTGTCTCCAGGTCGCATCCTGAGTAATTTTAGTTCTGGCCGATGCGACACCTTGTTGGCCGATGGGGGACCCAAACGGCCGAAGGGACGCAAAGTGGGTGTCTATCTTTAGTAGTTTGATCCTTTGAGTATATGGGCTATGGGGTCTGCGCCCATATACTCTATCAGGAGTCCCCCACTCTCTGAGCTGAGAAGAAGACGAAGTGAAAGGGAGTAAACATGTTTGGTTGCTTTTGGCCGATGAGGGGCCATGCGTGGTCCGGTGGCTTCTTTGTAGCTGATGGACGATGATGGCCGATGTCATTGGCATTGTTTAATGGCGATGACTTGCCATTGTCTTTGAAGGGTGATGTAGATCCCTTGAGCTTGTTCTTTGTGGAAGATGAGGCGTGACTGTTTCTTTGGTAGGCAATGTACGCCCGTTGTTCTTTGCTCTCCCTTTGTGTTCTCGCTTTGGCCAAGGTTGACCCACAGGCGTGTAGATGTTGCGGCGTCGATGCGTAGCTTTGTGATGAAGTGTGACTCGTCATTTTGAGGATGATGCGTGTCCTCTAGGTTCACCTTTTGGATTGGCCGAAGGCAAATCTAT